TTATAGACCTTCATAGTACTGTGTAATTACCCTTTTGATTTCATCCGGGTCCGTTGTAATGTCCCGTTTCATCCCTCATCCTTGCAAATGTCGTTTGTTCCTCCCTTTCTTTGGTTAGGTTTGCCAGAGGTCTATTAATTCTGTTAATTCTTTCAAAGAACCAACTTTTAACGGCATTCATTTTTTTCATAGTTTTCTTGTTTTCCCTCTCCTGTATCTTGGCTCTGGTTTTTATTATATGTATCCTCTTGCTATTAGTAGGGTTTTCTGTTGCCTCTTCTCTAATTGGTGTAATTTTTGTGTCAGCATATCATCCACGAGTCTCTTCTTTTTTAATGTGTGCATTTATTGCTATAAGTCTCCCTCTGATAAATGCCTTTGCTGGATCCCACAGGTTTTGGTATGTCATATTTATATTCTCATTGGTTTCTAGAAACTTTCTGATTTCATCTCTGATCTGGGTCAATACCCATTCCTTTTGCAATAGGGAATTGTTCATCCTCCAATTGTTTGCCCTAGTTTTCTTCACCGTCCTGTTAATTTCCAGTTTTATGGCACAGTGATCGTAGAGATGTCTGTATAACCTCTGTGCTTGAATTTACTCAAGTTTGACTTGTGTCCCAACATGTGGTCTATTTTCGAATTTGTGCCATGTAGACTTGAAAAGAATGTGAATTTCTTTGCATGTGGGTGGAACACTCTGAAGATATCTATCAAGTCATGTTGTCCAAGTGTGCTTTTAGATCTCTAGCCTCCTTGTTGTTTCTTTCTTAATTATCTGTCTTTTTCAGAGAGTAGTGTATTAAAGTCACGAACTCTAATTGTTGAGCCTGTGATGTCTTTTCATCTTTTTGAGTGTTTGATTCACGAATTTCGCTGGTCTCTCATTAGGTGCTTATATGTTTATTATGCTCACTGGTTCTTGGTCTATTGTTCCCTTGAGCATTATACAGTGCCCCCCTTGTATCTTGAGGTCAGTTTGATCAGATATTAAGATCGCTACCCCTGCTTTTTTTGCATTACCATTTGCATGGTATTTTTTCTGCAGCCTTTAATTCTCAACCTGTTTTTGTCTGCAAGCTTGAGATGAGTCTCCTGGAGGCAGCAGATCGATGGGTTATGATTTCTGAGCCAGTCTGTTCAGCCCTCCCATGGAGGGCGGGGTGGAGTTCCTCCTGCTGTTTGGGTTGATTTTCCATAAGCGGAGGGTAGTGATCTGGAAGTCAGTGGTGGTTTATGATAGGAGAGAGGAGGCAAAAGAGGGAAAAAGAAGAAAGAGAGAAAATAGAACCCCAGCTCATTGAGACTGACTGAGCTCGTTGAGAATGGCTGCGGTGGTAAGGATAAAAATGCTAGTGAATGAAGAGGGAAGAAATAGAGTAGTAGGTAAGGTGATAACAGAGGCTTGATCACTTCTCCGTGAGGCTGGAGGAGTTCCAACTCTTCCTCTAGGTGGTGGGGTGCTGTACCCGTTTTATGTAGGGTTCCACAGATTCTGTGTGGGATTACTTTCTAAGGCAAGATTGTGACCAGGCGTCCGTTGAGCTCTGGAGTTTACTGGTAAGCCTGCCTTGTGGTGTATGTAGCACTGCAGCAGGGGCAGGGAGCGGGGTGTTCCCACAGCCTGGTCTAGGGCCCCAGGGCAGGCAGGGCCTCCCCAGCTATGTGTAGAGTCACTGAAAGGGAGGCTGGGCTTGTTGTCCTATCTAGGCTGCTGGTGTCCTACTACTGGATCAGAGGCTTTTATTCTTATTTATTTTTTGTCCCTTTGGTCAGCTAGACTAAAATCAAATGAACTTGTCACACAATCTCTAGTCTGCAGCTCGTGCTATTTGAAACTGACGCTTGCTACAGCGGGTCTTCGTCATGTAAAAAGCCGCCAGGCCCTGTAGATGGGTTCTGGCATTCCTTAGCTAGGTTACTTCTCATGCTGAGTTATGTTAAGGACACCCGCCTATGTGCTCTTTGGAGCTGAGAAACCAGACTGCAGTTTGAGTTATTAACCAATAATATATATTTCACCTTTTTTTTTTTTTTATGCTTGTGAGGTGCTCTGATTTGGGGGCTGTCAGGCTGGTCCCCAGAGGGGGAGATCCAGCTTATCAGGGGTGTTGTTTCCTTCTCAGCCAATTGGAATTAATTCCACTCCCTGGTTTCCACTTATTTTCTCCCACACTGCGATCTACTTCAGGTAATAATCTGCCTTTTCTTCTATTCTAAATTATGGCTACCTGCCACTGCCACTCCCCAGGCAGTGAGCTCAGGGCAGCCGACACTGGATAGCTCCGGCGTGGGGTTCTCCTCATGTCTGGGATTCTGTCCCCTTTAAGGCGTCAGCCTGGAGAAACCGCTGCTCCGGGCAAGGGCACAGCTGGTACTCGGGCTCACCAAAGCTAGAGTGCTTTAAAGTGTTCTTGGTTTGCTTTGTGAGTGGAAATCACACACAAAAAAGGGGTTCAGGAGAGACCCTGGTACCCTACTTCTAATTTCTGGACTTCACCTTACCTCCCATTTTTCTGGTCCAGCAGCAGGAGCTCCGGACGGGTGCGTCCTATTGGGTCACCATTTTCCCTGGGTCCCCGGCTATTTGTCAATTTTACCTTCCAGAGCAAGCAATACTTGGAGTTTCTGGGCTTTTAGATTCATCCCCCTTCCCATTGTATCTTTATTTGTATGCTGTTCTGTACTCAGAAGTAATTAGGTTTAGGATCCACTGTACACTGATATCAACTAGTTCATTGCATTATAGACGATGACATCAGACTGGATTACATCCACAGATAGTGGATTACACCCGCACATATGTATGTGTTCAGATTCCAACACATATTTTGGGAGAGGAGAGGGGTGGCACAAACTCACCATCTGTCCTGTGGGAGAAAGTTGAGACTTTCTGCTCCTGTATACATTTACAGCCTTGGAAACTCACAGGGGAAATCCTACCCTATTGCATAGAGTTGCTATGAGCCAGAATCACTTTGATGGCAGAGAGATTTTTAAATTTATATATATATATTAAAGCTACAGGAAGCCTGGTATCATAATGGGTTGTTAGGCTATTAACCAAAAGGTAACCAGAAGCTCTGGAGGATAAAAGCGATGCTTGCTGCTCCCCTAAAGACTTAGGGCCTCAGAAATCCTAGGAAGCAGTTCTACTGTGCCCGACAGGGTGGCTGTGAGTTGGAATGAGTAGCAATGAGTTTGGTGTTTTAGACAAATCATTGAACCATCTATGGAGATCACTGAACCATCTCTTCGGACAAAATTGGCATCACAACCACATGGCATGGATTAGATCTACAGATGTAGAATGCAATCTTTAATCTATAGATTGGATTACATGTGCCAAATTATATCTGCTGGAAGACCTACCAGCAAATGATGTTCCATAGGAAGGCCACAGAACAGTCTAGAGCAACAAGGGCCCCAGCATTGTTGGCTAGTTGGACTGATCTGTGGATTACATGTACAGATATGTGTGTTTGGATTCCAGCACATTTTGGGGGGAGGAGCCCAGGGGAATAGCCTAATGAAACTTCAGAAATGGAGTCAGTATAGACCATTTATGGGGAAGTAAATGAAGGTGAGAAGGCTGGAACACAACCTGCACTGTCCCAGAAGTCAGGCGAGGAAGAGGGTTCTACATGCAGGGGAGGTGTGTGTCAGGAAATAGGAGCATCATGATTTTTTGCTGAGTACCCCTGGATTCCAGCCCCCAACCTTTCCAGCTTGAGGCCAGGGATGCCAACAGAAAAGCCCACAAAGGAAGCTCCTGTACTTTCCCTTCTGGGTTTCTATGGCTCTTCTCCTTCTCCACATCCATTCCTGGACCTGAGCACACCTTGAGCTTCCTAGCACACCTAGGGAGTGCTAGCTTCTGATAGAAGCTCCCTCAACACTTACTGGCTGAGAGATGATCAGTTTTATTGAACAAACTGGAATTGCTGAAGGCCACTCAAGAATCAGAGCAGCATACAAAGACATCACACACTACAGGGCTGTAGATAGGTAACCTACCTGAGAGATCAGAACACAGGAAAGCAGAGAAGATTCTCACCGGTATAAAGGGCTTGTGGGTTATTGATCCTTAGAACTGATACAAGCCACAGCTTTCCTGGAAACGGGTGAGTTCTGGGTCCTTTCTTGTCTGTTAAACAAATGGTCTTTGTCCAGGAAGAGGTCTGAGTACTGCTCCAACACTGGCGGCCCTGGGTGTAACTGCCCAGAGGCATGGCCGACAAAGGCCTGAGGAGTCCTCTGAAAACCGCAGTCACTCGGAGCCCCGGGGGGCACAGTTCAGCTCATGGGGCCACTATGGGCTGGGGTGGAGTCAGCAGCAACTAGTTTGGCTTCACAATTTAAAGGGGTGCTCCCAACTCTCTGGCGGGGAGCGCTGGATGCCTGGAAGTAATGAAACCTTGTCCTTTAAGGAGTTATGGGACTCCTGGTCTCTGTCGGGCCTAGATTGGTCCACATGGCTGCACTCATTCCAGTTATGAGGGTGCAGTGCCCTTGCACATCTGAGGAGTAAATGTTGGAGGGCCAAGGTTGTAGGGAACACGGTACCCGTGACTCAGCCCGAGGCCTGTCCAGGAGCCCCCTGCAGAGAAGCTGCTGCCCTGGCTGTGTCAGATCCTCAGACTTGGTGAGGCTGCCACAATGCCACATGTCTGCCCAGGATTTTGCAACAGCACAAGGATGAGACACAGGGTGGGGTGACTTGTTGGGAGACAGCGGGTGCCAGAACTGCATTTACCAGCAACCTCTGGCCCAGATCACAACTGCGGCCGGCAAGCTATCGCTTGTCCCGGCTGCATGCCAGGACAGCTCTCTGACCAGTGCAGAAAGAAAGGACACAGGCCTCCCCCATCAGTCCATGAGACTGGTTTTTGTCTTGCATTTCACAGACTGACTTCAAACCGTGATGGGGAGAAATTCCATTGAACATATACAACTCGTTCCAATGAAGTGATCCATTTCTCATTTGCAACAGCTTCCAATATTGTCTTCTGTTCTTTATTTTTTTCCTTTCAAAACCAGCACCAAACAGTAAAATTGAAATACCTGGGGTACAGTACATAGTGTATGGTAACTAGTAGCAATTATATACATTGACTCTGAAACAAATCAACAGAAAGTGGTGATTTGACTGCCACTGAGGTGCTTTCCCTGTATTCTGTGCATATCAGGATATGGGCAAACCTAGAAGTTTCTTTTGCACCAGTAAAAATAGCACCATAAGATCATGAGACTCGGCAGTTAACCCATATGTGCATCCAAACGGTACAGTACTTGAGTAACAGTACAGAGTATTGTCTCCGAGACAGACACCCCTGTTGCAGTCACAGAGCTCTCTGTGCAAAGGGACATGGAAGTGTCACAATGGCTCTGCCCACATCCATCAAAGAGGGCTGGTGACTTTCAGGACAAGATTGCTAAGACCAGTTCAAAAGCTCAGAAATACAGAAGGCTTAGCGCCAGAGGTGTTTAGCATTAACGGAACGGGACTGACATTCTGATGGTGTGGAACTCAGCCCAGGGAGGTCAGCTGACCCTGTCAGGATGGCTAAGGAGCAGGTGGGATTCCAAAGTATTAGTCCACTCTGCACACCCATCTGATTACGTGGCTGGGGAGCAGGTGAGCATGAGGCACGTGCCCAACCATTCCAACTTGATTCTTTGTCTCCCAACAGGAAGACATCAGCTTTGGGAGACCATCTGCTTTTGTAAAGATGTTAGTCTTGGAGCGAGCTCCACGGATCAGTTCAATTCTGGCCTGTCGGGTCTCAAGGAGTAGGAATCAAGGTAGTGTTGGTTTTTGTTTTGTGTACGTGTGTATGTGTTGAAGGAACAGCTAGTTTAGAGCTGGCAAACAATTGCAACCCAGCACCCGAGGGATATAATGGGTTTGTGGAAAGGGAGTTTGGGGAAGTCTGATGGTGGCTGCCTCAGAGCACAGGGTGGGCCCAGGCCTGGGGTCACTGCTGGCATTGTACTGTGAGGTTACACCACTGGTTTCCTGAAAACTCTCAGTTCTCTCCACGGAGCACCTAAGGGGTTTTCTCACAGCTTTTTGTTGATTCCAAGTGAATACTTGGACATCCTCCCATGTCTCTGCCTGTGGGGAATCAAAATCCCCAACAAAAATATAGCCCCCGAGGCAGGGAGAAGGCAGAGAGGGGTTTTGTTGTTGTTTCTCCTTCTGATTTAAGCTATCCTTAAAGTTCTGACATAAAACAAAAACCAAACAAACACGAACATAAACAGAGCACCAGTAAACCAGGAAGGACTCAGAGATCGCACCAAGGGTCTCAGCCTAGGGTCTGACATAGAGAACTTTTCCTCCTGGTAAAGCCCCCCAACACAAGCACCCCTGAAATACCCATGAAGATGGCAGGCATGGCACTGGGAGTCCCTGCTTCCAGGCTGGCCTGGCCCTCGGGCAGCGAGGCCCCATCATCTTCTGTGTTCTCCCAGAGTCCACCTCCTCATCTCGATTAGCCTTTGGGGGCGGGCAGCACTGTCGAGAGCGGCGAGGAGACTTCGGGAGGGAAAGGCCTTCTTTGTCCTCCCTGGGCATCCTTCTTGCTTCACCTGGAAGATGGGGTAGTAATAACAGCCATGGTGACCATGGGGAACCCAAGGTCTGGTTTACATGATGGCTTGGCAGGCTAGTCGCCAGCCCAGCCTGGGGGCCCCTCCATGACCCTGGAAGAGGAGGCCTACCCGATTGCCTGGATGAAACAGTGGTGCATTACTATGTAGATCCCGCGGTTGGACAATTCAATTTTAGGTAAATGAATAAGGCCAATGAGAAGGCACTGGGATGTGATGCTGTGCAAAGTACTACTAGATTAGAGGAGGGTGGGGGCATCCCATGCCCCACTGACAACACTGTCCTAATTTAATTCTTATGCCAGGAAGCAATTCTTCTCCACCAATTGGCATCTGTCTTCACATATCTTAGCACCTTGAGAAACTTCTGTTCCGAATAAGATGGACAGCAGAGATCTGCAATCCCAAACCTTTCCTGAATCCTCTCCCCACCCCATAGACAGCTTGGAGAGGCCTATGGCACTGCTGTCCAATTGGCCGACCCAGATTCAAACTCTCAAGGCGAGGCCGAGGCCTTAAAGAAGACTGCTTTCAGAGTCGGGTGGAGGGCGGAGCCCTGCTTTTTTGTGCAGCCAGGAAGGCAGATGAAGAGAGGTGGTGGCTCCTTCTCCAGGTGGCTGACATCAGCCCTTCCCTCTGAATAAGCCTCTTAGTGTACCACAGAGGAATGACCCTCAAATGACCTAAGCACTAGGGATTCATCTCTCTACGGCCACCAAGACGGAAGACCTGTATGATGTCTCTTTCTCTTCGATACGGTTGTCCAGAGGTGTTTTCCTTTAAGGAAAACACAAAACCTTAGAAACAAATTCTCTGTGATTTGTGACCATTTTCCCCCCTTACCATAGAAAGCCATCTATAGGACCATTAGTAATATATTAAATTGAAACGTAATTGGCAAATGTCAAGTCTGCTCTACAGTTCCATGCCGCGGGATCGCCTGTGGGTAGGGGCACTGTGCTGCGGGAGGACTGGCAGAGAGTCAGTGTGCTTTTGAATGGATGAGTGGGTGAGCTTCCGGCAAGCCATGCTGCTGGCACCTGCTGGGCGCTGGGCCTCGAAGCTGTGCCAGGTGTTGGGTGGCTGGGCAGCACATCACGAGCTGGGCTGTGGCTGCTGAGGTGGGTGCATCCTGCTGGCATAGAAGTCCCTGCACGTCTGGCAGCAGCGCTGGTACCACCTCATATCTTGGCAGAGATTCTTCTCCCGGATGACCCGGCAATATACAGTCCACTGGTCCCGTGTACATTTGTAGGTCAAGGCAGCTAGGGGAGAGGGGGAAGAGAAAGCTCACAAATTAAGGGTGACCTGGGGATGTCTGAGAGGCCTGCAATGCTCTAGGGGCCCATGTGGAGAGGCTGGTCTAATGGCGTACTAGGGGATTCCCCTTACTTGCTGGGCACTAGAGCCTTACTTCCTGTCAGGAGAACCGAGGAGATATGATAGTCCTGTATTGAGCCCAAGGGTTAGCAAACATAGATTCTCGAGCCATACGGGGGTCTTTCAGTACCTACATATGGCTTTGAAGCACAACTGAAAAAATGCTAAGGATATTCTTCAAATAATGGTGATTTCATTTATTTTTTTAAATATACTTATGGCTGTTGAATAATTTTTAAATTGCTATGAGCCAACTAAATAAGAGGAGGAAAGAAACAGGAAGAAAAAAAAAAAAGACATGGGTAGCGGGGGAGCAGGAAACTAACCCACCCAAGGGGAGGGTATTTTTTATCTCTCCACAGGAGAGGGAGAAAGAGACCAGGTTTCAACCTGATGCACCAAGACATGAACACAACATACCAGCATGTACCAGGGAACCAATAGAGAGGTCCGCGGGGTTGCCCAATCCCAACTATGTGGATACCATCCCCCATCAGAAGAATGTACTTCAGAGGACAGCAGGATTGGGGGTACAGGTTGGGGAGAGGGGCGCGTCGGATTAGAGCCCACGGGAGAAACGCAAAGGGATAGAGAGGGAGAAGAGCACATCCTTGCCCCAAGGACGATGTTCCTGTTCGGAGCAGACAACGCACAGGGAGGACCACAGGGCCGGCCCCACCACGGGACAAGGCGTCCCTCACTGAACCATGATGCTGCGGGGGACAGCACTGGAGACAGTGCGGGAATAGTGCACGCTCTGATCACGCTGGGTCAAGGCACTGAGGGTATGCAGCAGAGCAGCAGGGGGAGCAGACTGAGGAAACCCCCGGGAATACCAAAAATAGACTTTGGAGAATGGAGTGTGGCACCCCATCAGACTCGACTGGAAAACACTTGTAAAGGCCAACAGACTTTGAACTATTTATAGGCTTTTCCATTTTTGTCAGTAGCTTTCTTATTGTTATTTTGTTCTTGCTTTCTGTTGTTGTTATTGTTTTGTTGGCTTTGGCTTCCTTTGTTGGCTTTGCCTGTTTTTTGCACTTATTAATATATCTGCATGTCTACCTAGATGAGATAGGTGGGATAAATAATTCGGAGATGAAAAGAACAGGACCAATGGTTCTGGGGGGATACGGGAGAAGGGGAGGTGGGAGAAAAGAAGGGCGGGGGGGAACAAGTGAACTAAAATCAATGGAAGGAAGGTCATAGGATGCCTGGTGGGGCTCAATCAAGGGCAATATAGCAGCGAGGAATCACTAAACCCAAATGAAGCCTGAACATGATGGTGGGACAAGAGGGAAGTAAAAAGGAAATAGAGGAAAGAACCAGGAGGCAAAGGACATTTATAGAGGCCTAAATATAGGCATGTACATTTGTAAAGATATATAATGAGAGGGGAGTAGAGCTATGTACTCATATCTATATGTTGAGAATTAAGGTTGCAGATGGACATTGGGCCTCAACTCAAGTACTCCCTTAACACAAGAACACTTGGTTCGAACAATTGGCATTCTGTGATGCTCACCTTCCCGACACTATCGTTGAAGACAAAGCGGCTGCATAAGCAAATGT